CTTTAGTACGCGGAGCAATCTGTAGAGCTGGAAGCTGAGAACTGGCGACTTTCAAGTACAACTTTACGCGGAGCATCTGGGGAGCTGGAAGATGAGAACTGACTGGCGACTTTCTAGTACAACTTTAGCACGCGGAACAACCTGTGGAGCTGGAAGCTGAGAACTGGCCACTTTGTAGTACAAGTGTAGTACGCGGAGGACTCATCTCTCGCTGCTGAGTCAGCTCTCGCTGCTGTGAGTCATCTCTCGCGACTGAGTCATCTCTCGCTGCTCAATTATCTCTCGCTGCTTGCTGCTGAGTCATCTCTCGCGGCGTGCAGGTTTGGCACAGTTCATACTGATAGTATTTGGTTGCATTTATGCAGGACAGGACACTCAACTGCTGGTCAATACACCACTCAGCATACACCACTCATCATACACCACTCGTCATACACCACTCATCATACACCACTCGTCATACACCCCTCTTGTCGTGGCAAAGATACAACCCAGTACGCTGTTGTGAGCTGCTGATCCTGCAGGGGGCACACACACCTTACACACGTGGAATCCCGTGGGTCAAAAGTCCGGAGCGCGTGCGTTTGACTGGAGGACGCGCATGTTGGAGAGAACGTGGACACTCCTATAGGTCAATTTGTTCTTATAGGAAACTTCCGCCGCCGGCTTGCCCGGGAACTACTTGTAAGGGCCACGATATTGTGGTTCTCGGGGATGATAGGAACATTCAATTGCTCGTGGATGAATTGTCAAAGAAGCTTAGACTTAAAGTAAAGCTTGAAGAAGACAAGATTAGAGATTCTTGGGAAAAGTGATCGAGAAAGAAGAAGATGGAACGATTGCCTTGTATATGGAAAAGGAGTACTACGAAAGCATGATGTCCTTGTATCCTGGAGGAAAGGAAAGTCAGGCAACGCCTAATCTTTTTCAGCTCTATGATCGAGATCGAGAAGAGGACAAGAAGCCGTTGTCGCCCGAAGCGGCATCAACGTTTCGCACAGCATTAGGAAAGTTAGGTTGGGTAGCTCAGTCAAGACCCGATCTTTGTTGGTTGTGTTCAATGCTTGCTCGAGGACAAGCTCAACCACTTGCAGTTCATGAGGCAGCGATGCGTGCGAGTATCCGTTACATCCGTTCTGTATCCGATCGGAAGTTGAAGTTCAGAAGCTGGAGTACTCAGGCGTCCCAAGCATTACGACCTATGTCGATGCCAGTTGGGCAGCCGAAGTCAACGAATAGGAAGAGTACTTCAGGAGCAGCTATCTTCGTTTGTGAGTGTTGCATTAAAGCCTACAGTAGATTACAGCAAAGCGTAGCCTGTAGTTCAGCCGAAGCAGAGCTGTACGCTTTGTTCGAAGGAGAGAAAGAGACTATAGGTATCCAACATGCTGTAGCACATGTTTTTGGTTGTCAAGTTGAAGAGTTACCAGTACCGAACTTGCTTACGGATTCGATGGCAGCCCGACATGTGATTGAGATGTCAGGGTTGTTGAGAAGATTGGGACACATCGGTATTCGGCTCTGTTTTTTGCAGGATGCGGTCTACAAAGGTGTGATTTCCATCACATTTGTTCGAGGTACAGAGAATTGTGCCGGCCTGATGACCGAGGCATTGTCGAGAGCCGTTACGTTGCAGCGCATGGAGAAGATTGGAGTTGGTCGAGGTTTTCTGAATACGTTCGATATTCCGTGTGATTGGATCGGAAGGTTTCGTGTAAGAGCCTTGTGATTGTTGAGTTCTGCACGTCACCGGAATCCGAGATGAAGGCTGAAGGAGAACGTTTGGAAGGTGTTGAAGTCTTAGCCGATTACGGAGGCAGATGACGGAACCCGTACGGATACGATCGAGGAGACAAGAGAAGCTATGTTGAGTCCCAAGAAGAAAGGTAAGCTTGTTGTCTTATGGTCGTCGACTCCGTGCACCGGAGGATGTCCGTTTCAGTATATTTGTCTCAAGAAGTTCGGTCATCTTCGAGAGTTATATCGGATCCAAAGAAGCTTTGGAAAGGTTTCCTGCAGCTAGATCTGGGTTCTGCGAAACTGAGTCCTGTTCTAGGAGCTTCTACGAAAACGTGCCATTCTGGGCTCGAAAAACTGCATGACTCTTATGTGGTTAATTCGGCTTTAAATCCTTTAAGGATTAGCTCGCAAAGCTTCCTGGGATAATGCTGTGTCTCCTTCAATTGACATCTTTGGACGGCAAATGATCATGGTGACCATCACAGACACATACCTTGAGACTTTCAAGTAAACGGGTGCTATCAGTATCTATTCTCCACGTCTTTTTGACCAATTGATTCTTCTGCATCAAATCAACTGAACACGCTTCAACAAAGGTGGAATATAGAGCCCTCTTTCTCAGAAACTCTTTCGTCTGATTCCATCCCCAACAAGCGGTGTGAGAAGGTCTATTTTCCAGTGAGTGGGGGCAAGGTTAATTTGAATGCGTCTTGCTCAGGCATGGTCGCACCAATGTCTAAGGACCTGTGTTCGAAATGTCTGTCCTCATCGAAGAAGAATATGAAGGCTTAAAGTCAGCCAGTTGTTCCGAGCGAAATGTCCAAGAGGGGGTGAAGAAATCCATTTGTTGGATGGCCACCTCGCTCGTGTTTGTTGTTTGGTTTGGTTTTGTTGTTTTGTGTTGTTTGGGACGCTGTGGTTTATTTCTTGAAGGTTTGAAAGAGTGCTTTAGCGTTTTCGAGTGTTTAAAAGCTTTTTGTAGAGAGTTGCTTGTGTGATGTATACATATGTACAGTTTTTGACACGACTGTTACTTTTGGCTCAAATGTGTGTAAAAAGGCGCGAGGGAGTGCACTGCGTCAGCTTGAATTGTTGTTTGTTTCAAGAGTAAAATGAGGCTGTGAGAACGAGTTTTGGAGTGTACCGGACCCATCGAGTGAGCCTGCTGTGAGCTTAAAGATCCAGGGGAAGTGTAGTTTACCGTAGGGTCTGCTACCCACGTTTTTCGGCATACGCCAAGATGACACTGGTGACAGCTCTGTCGCTCTTCGAGGAGGACAAAGGAGGAAGCTGAGCGTCCACAGAAGGAGAAGGATGAGAACGATGAGGCTTGGTGGATTCGGCCATTGATCACCATGATGTGTTTGGCGAGCATCGGGGCCTTGAGCTTGGCACGGATGGCAGCAAACGCCTTGAGGACATGGTGCCATGGGAGACGAATTTACGAAGGGCCCATCGAGAATGAGCAAGATGAAGCAAGAGATGCTAGAGCGGCCGGGCCGCGTGTGAGAAGTGCAGTACATGGAGGTGAAACTCAACCAGAACAGCCCCAGCACGAGGAGGACCAGGAGAAGGTCAAACATGCAGTGGCAAATCATTCACCTGGAGGTAGCTGTGGCTGAGCAGGAAGAGAAGCTGAAAAATGTTCGAGAAGATCGTGCCATGCAAGCGAGAGAAGTGGTCAGGATGTATAACATGTGTGCGGACGTACGCTTTGAGCTAGAGGTCGTGAAGGATGAAAGAGATGAAGCAAAGAGGAAGGCCATTAGATTGGCTGGGCCAAGAGATGAAAGAGCAAAGGAAATGGAAAGGATGGCAGAAGATGCGGCCGGAACTATGGAAGAAGAGAGCAAAAAAATGTGAACAAGAAACCAAGGAAGAAGTGGCTGAACAGTTGCGAACCGCTCGTTCCACCTTGGAGCGCAAGCATTGGCCGATAGGCAAGACTAGCAATTGCTACCACCAACTTGGGTGTGGACATTTGGCCATAGTGCCACGACCAAGATGCTTAAGCCATGCGCTCATTGTGTTCCAGAAACCATAGGGGCGGTGTTAGAATCTGAAGCATTTCCAACGAGTTGATGGCATGTTGGAACACACTAGGATCCACGTTGTGCACACAAGGCCCAAATAGCTGTGAAAGGGCGCAGCACGCTTTGTTTCACCGTGCCAAGTGTGAGACCATGCCAAGAGAGTCCGCGCAGGACATGCAATTTATTGTCACTCATGAGTGTGCAAAAAAGGACAAAATGGAGGTAATGAAGCTACTAGAGGCTCCTGGCCTTCCTACCAGGAACAAGGATGCTATTTAAATGGGAACAAGAAACTACTAGTATGCACGAGACGACCCGAGTCAGCAGCATCGGAGCAGCAACTCATGAGGTCGAGGTGCCAAAACAAGCGAAGGCAGCGAGGAGAATCGCGGGCAAAGGGCGGGGAAACTCCTCCAGAGGTTGACCGACAGGCAGTCCATCGCAGTGGACTCCAAATTATTGTTCCTAGTAACGTCCTTGCTCCTAGTAGTACGGCCAGGAGCCCCTAATAGCGTCCTTGTAGCAAAAAAACCGACCGAACAACCAGTCTTATTGCACCTCTGGTGCTCCATGGTGGAGATGGCAAACCATATCGCGGCGTACAGCTCGAAGGCTCTGCCCGCAAGCAAGAGAGACTTGTGTTCACCATGTGGTTGAGCCTCTTCCTGGATGTTCAGGCTACAGATGCGGATGTGGTTGAGAATTGGGGATGATATCTCTTGTATCGCTCTTGCTCTTTTACCCTGATAGTCACATCGCCCTGTTGACTGCTGAACATCGTTAAGAACTGGCTGCCGCCCTCCGAACGCTTTCTCATACCCTGTCCTCCCTCTCGAAGGACCGGGGTTCAGAACCCGAGGTTGATACCAGAAGTTTTTGGTTCCGGCGATTGTGTTGCCAAGTTTGTCTTCACCGTCTCCATGCGATTTTTATTTCATCACTCTCCCACTTTCGTGCCAGCTCTTTCTTCATCGTTCCCACTCTTTGAGCACAGCCTGGTTTAGACTTTTGTGCGTTTGATTGAAGTATTGAACCTGTGGTATGACATTTCGACAAGTGGACTAACATTCGTTCTTCATTTGTTTTTGGGTTTAAGACATGACCATTTTCTTCCGTCAGCGTCAGTTTTTCAAGAACTATTGGCAAATGAAACATTGATTGTCTACAAGTGGGAAGCGCAGGGCTCAGTTTTATCTCAAAGACACCAACACCACAAGAAAACTTGAGTGCACATGGATGATGGAACCTTTCGTTTCATCAGTCCGACTGGTTACAGATGTGTGGGGCGCTGTCCGAAGCATCGATCGGCCGTTTTCGGGTTTCGGGGTTTGAAGACTTGGCCGTGGCATCATGTTGAGCATCCAAAAGGAGCTTGCTTCCAGGCGGGGAGGGAAAGAAGTGGTTGTATGACACACGCCCTTTGGGCCTGGAAATTGTTTCCAATATGTTGGTGGGTCTTTGCTCTCACAATTGAAAGCAATGGGCTGTCAGGTTCCAAGTGCATCATCGTTTTTTGCCCAGTTGGTAGCCATTGGACAAAAACGAAGGTGTATGTAATGTAATATAGATGTAAATGTAAACGTAAATGTAAATGGACACGTAATGTTTTGTTATGTACAGTAATATAATGTAATGGTATGGTATGGTATGCTATGTATGTCCAACAGGTTCGTGTTAACGTTCATGTTGAAAGGTTCATTTTGGGACTGACCAGCAGACACGTTCCAACATTTCGGCGCCATTGCTCCATAGTTTTGTATGTGACTTTGTCCCAAACTTGCCCAATGATTGCAGGGTGTTGCAGAATGGGTGTTCTTCCGGTTCATTTTGATGTCTGCAATGTTCCACGCTTCTGTAACCGCCCGGCCCGCTACGAGTTTCGTAGATCTGCAGCCCATAGATGAGGGACACTACAGAAGACTTGCAAGATGTTTCGGATATCCTGACGTTTCCGGAAGATCGTTGGACCTCTTTTTTTGGGAGGCCTTTTGTTTTAGCCAACTCACAGATCCTTGGTTTCCAAACCGAGACCTGGTTTTCAACCCATCCACCACTGCACAGGTCTTTAGCGCCGTCTCTGCGTGTGGTGCTCGCCTCTCCCGCTTTGCGCAGCCTTCGACGGATACCCACCCGTGGCTTTGCCTCCCGACGGAGCGAGCAGAAGACGAAGGATTCTGAAGGGCAAGGCGAAAGTGCTCAAAGTGAAGAAGAATCTTGGATGAATTTTATTGTTGCGGGTTGGACATTGGTTGTTGAAGAACTGGCTAATGAGTGGGGATCGTATTTGCGCCTTGGGTTACTTCCAGCTGCTTGCCCGGCTGGAGGTGATCGTATGAATCTCCATGATCGACAATTTCATTTTGACAGATTGTGGTAATGTGTCGTCGCTTCAGATATATAGCCTCTTAAAGACCGTTCAAAGCTGGATCATGTTGCAACATTACACACAAACACAAGCCTTTTGAATACTTAGAAGACACAGAGGGAAAGCTATGGCTGTTAGTCAAAGTTGAAGATGAATGCAGATTGTTTTTTACTGGGGGGCGATTTTGCACCAACGGCTCTTTATCGGCTTCCAATTGAAGAATGCAATGAAAGAACTGATTGAGCGGCAACTCCACTTTCGATTTAACCCCCTTTCCGTATGTATTCATTAATCCAGAAAGCTTCTTGTTTCTGCGCTTGGCCCAGGCTGCCCAACCCCAAGCGCAAACCTTTGGCGAAAAGTTCGTGGTCTTCGGCCTGGCACTGCGTGGCATGGCCTTGCTGCCGCGCTTTGCTCCAGCTGCCCAGCTGCTGCGTGTGGCTGGCGTGGGGCCCATGGCAGTAGGAGCGCAGTGAGGGTGAGACGAGACAACCTTCCGACAACCGAACCACATCCACGTAGGGCACGGAGATTGTCTTTGTTCTTGGAAGCTTCCGCAGAAAGTCCCCAACGATTCGCGGCTGTATATAATGTTGTCGGTTTCCGGTTTTTGTCTTTTGTTCTTTTGTTTGCGACATCCCCTGATGAAGCCTCAACTTTACAGAGATTGGCTTCAGGTTTGGTGAGCCACAGGTTCCATCAATGGATGTGATAGAAGTGCTGTCCTTCCTGCGGTTCACATCAGCTTCCTCTAGGCATGAAACGCATGAATGGGTGTTTGCACAGCAATGGCCTCCAACCTACTAGCGATGGCCTCCAACAAATTTGTGGAGAGATGTTTGGGCCTCATTTGGGCAAATAAAACATAACATATTGTATATTAGGTTGGAGGCCACGGCTAGTAGGTTGGAGGCCATCGCTAGTAGGTTGGAGGCCATCGCTAGTAGGTTGGAGGCGGTTGCTACTAGGTTGGAGGCCATCGCTAGTAGGTTGGAGGCCGTTGCTATTAGGTTGGAGGCCATCGCTAGTAGGTTGGAGGCCATCCCTACTAGGTTGAAGGCCATCGCTAGTAGGTTGGAGGCCACCGCTAGTAGGTTGGAGGCGATCGCGACTAGGTTGGAGGCCATCCCTAGTAGGTTGGAGGCCATCGCTAGTAGGTTGGAGGCCATCGCTAGTAGGCCGGAGGCCATTGCTCTTAGGTTGGAGGCCATTGCTAGTAGGTTGGAGTCCATTGCTCTTAGGTTGGAGGCCATGGCTAGTAGGTTGGAGCCCATTGTTCTTAGGTTGGAGGCCATTGCTAGTAGGTTGGAGGCCATCCCTAGTAGGTTGGAGGCCATCGCTAGTGGTTTGGAGGCGATCGCTAGTAGGTTGGAGGCCATCCCTAGTTGGAGGCCATCGCTAGTAGGTTGGAACCCATTGCTCTTTGGTTGGAGGCGATCACTAGTAGGTTGGAGGCCATCCCTAGTAGGTTGGAGGCCATCGCTAGTAGGTTGCAACCCATTGCTCTTTGGTTGGAGGCGATCACTAGTAGGTTGGAGGCCATCCCTAGTAGGTTGAAGGCCATCGCTAGTAGGTTGCAACCCATTGCTCTTTGGTTGGAGGCGATCACTAGTAGGTTGGAGGCCATCCCTAGTAGGTTGGAGGCCATCGCTAGTAGGTTGCAACCCATTGCTCTTAAGTTGGAGGCGATCGCTAGGTTGGAGGCCATCACTAGTAGGTTGGAGGCCAGCGCTATTAGGTTGGAGGCCATTGCTATTAGGTTGGAGGCCATCGCTATTAGGTTGGAGGCCATCGCTATTAGGTTGGAGGCCATCGCTATTAGGTTGGAGGCCATCCCTAGTAGGTTGGAGGCCATCGCTATTAGGTTGGAGGCCATCGCTATTAGGTTGGAGGCCATCCCTAGTAGGTTGGAGGCCAGCGCTATTAGGTTGCAACCCATTGCTCTTAAGTTGGAGGCGATCGCTAGGTTGGAGGCCATCACTAGTAGGTTGGAGGCCATTGCATCTAAAGAGGAGCCGTTGTGAGTTTGTACGAGCTGGGTGGCTGGCCGCTGCTATTGGCGGTCCCCGGCACGGCGACGCTGGCCCTCTCAGCACCTCAGAGACAGAGAGATTGGGTCGACTGCTTAAGTTTCAGGGTGGATAGAGCTTTATGGAAGTTGACTCGTCACATGAGATTCATGAGATATCAGTGATATTTCATGATTGTCCACTTTCAGTGCATCGCCTCTATGGGAGATTTCGAAAGATCCCACTGTTCCTCTGCCGATCACAGGCGACCGAACCAATTGAGGCGTCTGTGCTTGTGGAATCCAACTTGGAAGAGCAGCTGCGGGCGGATGTGCTGCAGCGCCTGAGCCCTTTGGCGTCAACGTCGGGTGTTGAAGAAAGACATGAGACAAGCCATGCACTTGGAGCCGCACTGTCAGTAGCTCACACATGGCCACTGTTGGTGATCCCGCGGGTGGGAAATAGCTGGACAGGAAGGAAAGGAGCATACCAACGGTTAGATTCAACACGTGAAACAGGCGAAGCAAGACGATGCACCGCCTTCCCGCCCAAAACCCGCCAGGTGATGAGGTGCCTCCTGCGCTGTTGGAGGCGCTGCGCTCGGCGGAAGTGAAGAGCTTCGAGACCAACCGCTGCAAAATCGAGGCGCCAGTGCCTGTCCTTGAGGGAGTGGCTCTGTGCAAAAACGCTTTGTCTGATGGAGCAGCGGTGGGAGCTGCTTGCTTCGTGCATGTAATCAAGCACCGGCTGGTGGGCACTGCGGACTGCTTGTAGTGGGAAAGGAGATGGATGCAGTGAAGATGGCTGGAGGATGCAGTAGTAAAGGGCCAAGTGACCTAGACCTAGCGTCTACACGATCTACATTTATATTGGAAGCTTCGGAGTTTTCATTGTTGGAGCTTTGGAGTCATGCCGCGAGAAGCCCCACTTGCGAGCGCTCTTTTTTGGGCCGTGGATGTCTCCGTTCCGTTCGTGACGTGTCGGCGAGGCGCAAATTCGTGATGGCGGCGTGTCTTGGCACCTGGAGGTCCGAGCGGAACGGAGGCGCGGTCGCCGCTTCGCGGTCGAAGCGGCGCGCTCTGCGAAGCGGCGGTCGAAGTGCGAAGCGGACGAAGCGGTGGATGCTCGGAGGGACACAGTTGAGCTGGTCAGGAGCTTTCCGTTGCAGTGGCAATTGACCAACATGCAGGTGTGTCTTGATCTGCAGTTGGGCGAAGCAACCAATTTTCGGCGCTTGTCTTTTGACTTCCCATGGAGGCCCACAAAGCTGGGACACGACAGAACGTGCACATCGGTGCACTTCGGCATCCAAGGCGCACAGGGCGTCCCTCGAGCCAGAAAGGGCTGCCGCCACAGACCAGAGATTGGAAGCCACAGGAAGAGCACCTGGAGTAGGAAGCCTCAGGCGGAGGCAGACCACCAGGTCGTGGTTCTTGGAGCATTTTGTAAGCTTTGGGGTGGAAACATTGAAGGGAATGAGTACTGTAGATTCTGAAAATTTCTGGTATAGCCACTTGTCCAGTGCTTCAACTTCGAAAGTTGGAAAGCAACCTCTGGGCCTCGTGCTTTCACTTCCCGTCGTTCCCGTACGGGGTGAAGACGGCTTCAATCATCCAACATATTGGGACTCGGACGCAAAAACAGAGACATCGGACGCATGGTAGCGGTCCGATCGCTCCGTTCGTAGCGGTGCCCGAAATGCTCCGTTCGTAGCGTCCGATCTCTCCTAGTAAGGCCAGGAGCCCCGAACGTAGCGTCCTTGCTCCTAGTAACTAGTAGCATTGTAGCATACTAATCCTGGAACTGACATGTTGAAGGAGGCTTCAAAGGACCTGCAGACCAAAGCATGGTCGGCTTCGCAGTGACTGCTGAGGTGGACCACAGTGGCCATGAGCGAGTGAGAAACGCCCAGCTTGGACCTCTGTGTTTTGCGACGGTGTCTCAGTGAACGGCTCTTGATGGGCCGTCGAATTAGAGGAAGTTTTCTTCTTTCTTTTCCTTTTCTTTGTTTCGACCTTTCTTTCTGCAAATTCTTTACACCTCTCCCAGTCTACCCTAGTTTATCCTTTCCTCCTTGCTCAGGCCTTGCTTGGACGTTCACCTTCCATCTTCGTGTCATGGATGTCATTCGTCCAAGGTCTGACGAACAACGTGCGGCGAGCGAGGGCCCGTCGACCGTGGCGCTGGGCCTATGGCCTTTGGGAGGATACCATCGATGAGAGGGAAAGACTTTGCCTCCAACATAGAAGAAATGGCCTCCAACTAGAAGCGATGGCCTCCAACCTAGTAGCAAGACTTTGCTCCTTCCCCACTCTCCTTCATGCTGCTTACCAGACATGACACTTTAGCTTTTGTTGCCCTTGCCCCCCAAGAATTGTCAGACAAGACCTTGTCCAAGTCCACCAGGCGCCATTTGCCCTGTCAATTTACTGCTTTAGGACATGCTGTGAAACAGCTCTGAGGGTTTTCAAAACCGCCTGGTACAGGATGCACGAGGCATGGCGGTGCGCAGCAAGCTCAAAGATCAACAAAACATGTGTGGGTGTGTGGTGTCATGGAGAAGACAACAAGTCTTCCATCACAGGTCGTTTAGCACGTGCCCCGAAGGCCGCCGGTATGTTCCGTAGTTGTGCTAGGTAGGTGGCAAGAAGGTGTAGGAACAGAAATTCGGCCAACTTTGCCAGAATTCTTGTGTTTCTATCGCTCGAAGAACAGTATCTAGAATGGATCCCAGTGGGCCACGTCACATATCACATATCACGTCCAAAATATATAGATCAGCCAATGAAAGACTAGAGCAGAATTTACCACATGAGTGGGAAGAGAGAATGGTTTTGTTTGGACGGTTGCTCATTATCCTCAGTGTTGGCTCGAGCAAGCCAGGAACAGGCCTCTCCCATCAGGTGAGGACGGGCTAGAACACACTCTTGCCTCCACACACCTTGGAATTCAATCATTTGGTTTAGGAAGGAGGCCATCGCTATTAGGTTGGAGGCCATCGCTATTAGGATGGAGACCATCGCTATTAGGTTGGAGACCATCGCTGTTAGGTTGCCATTGCTATTAGGTTGGAGGCCATCGCTGTTAGGTTGAAGACCATTGCTGTTAGGTTGGAGGCCATCCCTAGTAGGTTGGAGGCCATCGCTAGTAGGTTGGAGGCCATCGCTAGTAGGCCGGAGGCCATTGCTCTTAGGTTGGAGGCCATCACTAGTAGGTTGGAGGCCATCGCTAGTAGGTTGGAGGCCGTTGCTAGTAGGTTGGAGGCCATCGCTAGTAGGTTGGAGGCCGTTGCTATTAGGTTGGAGGCCATCGCTAGTAGGTTGGAGGCCATCCCTACTAGGTTGAAGGCCATCGCTAGTAGGTTGGATGCCATTGCTATTAGGTTGGAGGCCATCGTTACTAGGTTGCAGACCATCGCTATTGGGGTGGAGACCATCGCTGTTAGGTTGGAGACCATCGCTGTTAGGTTGGAGGCCATCGCTGTTAGGTTGGAGGCCATCGCTGTTGGGTTGGAGGCCATCGCTATTAGGTTTGTTTGGTGTCTCACGGAATCGACTCAGGTGATGGGTCCATGTTGAAGACAGGCGTCTCTTGCAGCGCCGTGCATCATGGGGAGAGACTGCAAGGGAGGATTGATCTGGAGAATTTACGATGGATTGAAACATTTGCAAATGTTACATTTGTTGAAGTCATGTACATGTCACCTTCTTGTATATGAGATGATATGAGTATGAAGCTTCATCTGAGGATCATTCCTTTGTTGCTTAAGCATTTTGCTGATTTGCTTCGTCCCGCCAGCTTTATCATTGCTGTTGTGCTCAGCTCGGAGACTCAGACACTGTGGACACTGTGGTCCTTGAGACATCGGTGAGATCCTTTTCCGCATCCGCCCCGGACATGAGGAACGATCGGACAAGGAGGGGTGACATATGACATACGACTGTGTCGGTATATTCTGTCAACTCACCATGCTGGTCATTCCGGGAATGGAGATTTCAGGTACTTCTGAAAGTTTATGTGGCTCATTTGGCGTCTTTGCAGTCTCTACATCTGGAGAAACACTCAAGTGTAGGAAACATGACACTGCAGAGTTGTGGTCAAAATTTGATGGCAAACCTTCCTTGACTTTGTTCTCTCAAAGATCACTTCATTCTCTCAATAGTCTCTCGATTGTGAGCAAGTGCGCTAAAGAAAAAACGTGCCGAAGAAGAACGCAGATGAAGCTCACCATGGGAAGCTGACCGCGTTCTGTTGCACTTCATGAAGCACCTCACCGTAGCGGTTAGAACGATCCGAAGATCCGGCTGGCCCTCCGGCCCAGGCGGAGCGGAGCTTCTTGGAACGAAGTTGGGAGGCCCCAGCGGTCACGTTGGCGGTCCCGTTGGGAGAAACTGCGGGACCTTGAAGGTCTCCACCGAGTGCCATCCTTGCTATGCTTGTAGCTTCTTGTTACTCGAAACTGGACACCTTGGCGGTGTGGGGTTCGGTGGAGTCTGAGACGAAAAGGCATGGGGTGATGAACTGCAGGACAAGAGTTGTGCAGAACTTGTGCGGAGTGTGGGAAACATTGGAAATGATTTGAGACTCCATCCGGATGGTATATCTTTTGCGGCATGGGCATGTTTCAAGGGTTTCCTTCAACATCTTCTACTTGTGATCGGTACATTTTCTTGAATGTACCCTGCAGACTCGCACAAGCTGCTCTGCTACAGAATCACTTTCACCATTGAAGACTTTCACGAATCCGGCCTTTGAGGGTTTACGATGGTTAAGGTGGTGACCTTGGCCAACATGCTGCCAAGACTGGGTCTACTTAGACAACCTGGCATCGTCACTGATGCTAAGGCCAGCTAGACCTTCAGCAGGCCGACAAGTGGGCTGCTTGCAATGTGATTTTGGAAACATGAAAGGTCGACAGGCACCAACAGAATCTCGACTTCATTTCTTGCTAGGCCTTTTGACACTGGTTCACATGGTCATGCTGAGTCATGCTCCTTTTGTGAGCTTGTTTGACCAGTCCTGGTGCATGAACAGCTGCGACAGGTTGCTTGCTGCGTCATTGTTGTGAAAACACAGACACTTCCAACCAAGCTCACCTACTCGATGAGAAATGTAAAACTTTGTACCCTAAGACCTAAAGATACAAACTGAACATAGCTGAACTAAACCAAGTTCAGACCAAAAGCGACTTAGCATCAGTTTCTTCAAGATGCTATGCAATAGCTGCACTCGCCAGCTTTTGATGATCCCTGTGGGAACATCTAGAAGGTGCTCGGTGTTGACGCTGCGATGCAGGTTGTTGATGTCGAGGTTGCTATGTCATTTCCTCCTAGAACTGACTGTGGAAGGCAGTACTTGCAACATCTCGCTGGTATGTAGTGAGGAGCGCCATGAAATCGCAAGGAAGCAGGCTGGTTTGTGTGAGCCAGCTGTGCGAGAAATTGGTGCGCCTGAGAGCAAAACCTGTTGCGCGACATTGTTGAGAGAACGCCTTCCATTGAAAGATGTCTCACTTTGCTCCTGCTCAGGGATCATGTCTGAAGCCGTTTTCGTGCCTACGACTGGATGTTTCACGCACCGGAGTCAGAGGGGCGAAGAACTTCCCCAAAAGTCTTGTTGAGATCGGCTTGTTGAGATTGGGGTGGCTCTGGTCTCGCCTCAAAACTGTTGTGCAGCTCTGAGCACGCGAACGCAGTAGATTTGGGCAAAAGTCGGATGGCGGAGAAATCTGAGATCCAATGGGTCTGGCTGGTAGAAAGTCTGAGATTCCGCACCCTTGCATTTTTTCCTCCCAGGAATGATTTCAAGATTTCTTATGGCTCTTGGAACATCTGCGATCGTGTGTGGGCGCCATTTGTTTGAAGTTGCTTTCTGCTTTACAACAGTTCTATGATGTATGTGTTATTGTCGCGCTCCCTGCGTGGCTTGCACTCTGGATGGCTTTTCCTCGAAAATGAGATCCTTTTGTTGTTTTGTGCTCCTGTTGGAACTTGTTCAGCCTACTTTTCTACACAAGCAACGTTGACAGGTTGTGTGCTGCTTGAATTGTGTTCGATTTATGTGGAACCCATATAATCCCAGGTATAATCTCAACAACAAACACCTCCCTCAGATACAGTGCTTCGTGTAGGTTGGTATTGCGGAAGAGGGAGCTTTGCTTAGCAACAAAAATTATTGGGGGCATGGTTCAGAGGTCTTCCATAGGTTGCTCATGTCCGGCGGTTTAGGGTTGCTTTGCTTGTAGGAGCGCCAAAGCCAAGGAGGAAACTGTTTTCACACGCGTCAGGCTGTCACAGACGAAATCACACTGAAGGAAGTGTTGGCTGCATTGCAGGAGACTTCAGTTGAATGTGCCAACCTTCATTAGAGAAAGGGATCCGCACACCTTGATATCATTTTATGCTCTTAAGATCAGTTCCTGAATGATGTAATGGTAGCGTCGAACCCCCAAATCTGTTCCAACTGGCAAGTGGTTTTCCTGTGGATAATGATGTTTCTCTCGGTGGAGTTTCTGAATGTTCTCACTCCTTGTGTGCCTTCATCCCTTTTCACAAGGAGCTGGAGTCCGCCAATGAAAGTGACCAAGAAATCAGCGACGCCACTGATGCCACAACGGGCAGCACCGGCGGGACTGTGTGCGGCTGAGTTGTCAGCTGGTTTGACGGGTCTGGGTTCGGCTGTGGAGCTGTCCTGGGTGCTTTTTCGTCGCAGCGCTTCATCGTCCAAATCAGTTGGCAGGTTTAGCAGCTGCGAAAATATTCAGATGATTGTGGAATGCTTCAAGAAGACTGTTATGATATTTCAATTTCACCCACCTCCCACAGCTGTCCAATGATCACCCAGGTCGATGGGGAGACCCAGGCGACGACCGAAGGGGATTGGGTATGAGAACAGAGAAACACATGCGTTGTCAGCATGGTCTCAGAAGAGGCCACCCCGACAAAAATTGCAGCAGGTCAGTAGAGGACACCCCAATGAACACAGGGCTTGTGGCCATTTTGGACCCCCAAAAATATTCATGACAAGATCGAATCGAGTTTCACATGAATCGAGAGGAACATTTCCTTAGAGAGTGGGCGGATAATTTCTACCCAGTTTCAATTAGTTTTTTTCCCCAAACAGGTTTACCTGTGAGGGGTTCTTACTCCTTTGAAAGGGTTGCGTGCCAGGCCTCATGATTTTACATTTGTCTCCGGGTGCGTTCCTGCCACGCTGCGATTGCTTTGGACGCATGATGTTGCAGTTGCCTCCCAGTACACTTGTCTCAACACTTGTCTCGCTTGTCTCCGG